TGTAACACGAGACATTGGCACCGTCTTATCTCGCAGGTTTTCTCAGGACTACTGGATGGACTGAGCCACACAATCGCGGCTCTATTGCTTGGTTTCGAGGCAGTGATGAATGATCTGCCGTTGTTCGCGCACCGGAGGGAATAGACACCACAGCCAGTAAATTCCAAGAATGAGGCTGCTTAGTAGCAAAGCCCGACCCCTGCACAGCTGTACACTAGGTATTCTCTCTGCCCTAGACCATTTCCTGGGGAAGTGCCCTGCAGCCACAGCAGTGCAGCTGGTGGCCTCGCTATCGTTGCTGCTTCTACCGATGCTGAATCCTCCTAAACCTTTTCGTCAGCTTTAGAACTCTGACAAGCCCGCTAGCGAATGAAGAATTCCCACTTTCACCGAGCTCCCCCCTTTTGATCATCCGTCTAGGCACCGGCCATGATTATGAGCAAAAAAACCTCGCATAATCGAGGCGTAAAGTTTATGTCCAACTCGCCTTAACCCAGCTTATCCGAATCGTAGCCAGTGTGGTGCTATATGTTGCATCGGCGCCCTGTTACCACCCCGCGTCGTCATGGGGCTTCTGTGGAGGGCTCTTCCACGCCAGTAAACAGTTTATCTAAGCAGAGACAGCTGCTGCATACTGTCAGACCCGGATTGGACAGGGCGTGCGTCAGACGATCGATCCTTCGCAGTGGTGCATTGCGTTTCAACAGGACAAGGGGTTCGGTGAGATAAATGATCTGCTTCTTTTATCATCACGTTTCTACCACTCCGTAGCTTACAAGAGCCTCGTCTTAGCTGCCAGTGGCCTTAATATATCTTCACGTTAGGCTCCGTTGTTTTCTTGGGTTTGCAATTGGGTATCTCTGCATTGCTTCGTGTAAGTACGCTAGGACGTCGCAATGGTGCCACGTTTTACTAATGGCGAGGTAGCTTTGCAGCATCAAAGCTAGCATGCAAATGTATCGATACCGCGTTATCAATTGCCAATCTTAGTGCCGTGCATATGGGATTGCAATTTCCCAGGTGCAATCTATGTCATCAAGACCCTCTGCAGACCAGAAAAAGCTCGCCATCTGTCAGACAAGGGTCGGCGATGCAACCTACTGTAGCAGAGCCCTCATTTGCTGTCAACCCAAGGTTCCAGAAAGGTTCTTACCCGTATACACGAATGGGATAGATAACTACCCCGGCCGCATAGCCCCCAGCCTGCATCTCCAAAAGACCGCATTGGTCTGATGGGGGAGGTGGTTGACGGTGGGCGAAGTATTGCACCGCCATTGATCGGAAATCATAACTCTAGCCGTTGCTAACCTGTATAAGCCATCTACCAGTCACATGGATGCAGGTGGCTTTACAGCTGATGTTGCTAATTATCAGCTACCGCATAATTGGGACGAGCTAAAACCTATGTCAGACTAATACCTTACCCACAGAGGTACACTTTCAACCCAAACTATTGGAAATAAGCAGACATCTCGAGGTGTCTAGTCGAGTTTCATATTGTAAAATGGGGACAAAATAGCTGTCAGACTATCTTGGCGAGAACCAGATTACATTGAATTCACTACAGTAGGACCACACACTCCAAACCATTTCTTGGTATGACTAAACCACACCAAGTGATAATTACCTAGGTAGTCAATACACAACGATCGATTCACAAACCTAACCAACTCGGGGATAATAGTAAGAATGCTAAGAACAAGATTCGCATGTCACAAGACACTCACCGAAAAAGAGGGTTCTGTAGATAGTCTGTCGCGAACACTGTACATGAGGTAACCGATAGACTTTTGTTGTTGGACAAGGATCTCTAAAACACCTTCATGAGGCTATTTTGACTATATATAGAAGGGTCTTTATTTACGTGTGTTTTATGACATAGTCGGGTTGACCTACGAAGATGTGTTGGAGACCCTTGCGCAACAAGTACGTATTACCGCTTACCTCAATTATAGTATTCCTGACAGTAGTCTCTTTGTTGCGTGCATGTGTGCGTGTGTCTCCTAAGACGTGAAATCTGCAATAATATCGGCTGTGACTGTTGTTGCCTAAGCATTCCGAACATGAACTTTGAGTCAGGGGCTTGGGCGGCTATAGGCTAGGCATCCAGTACTACACGTACAAATCGAAGGGGATGTGACAGCGAGAGTGCGGTACAAGGCGACAGGACAGCCCACCGAGAACAGTCGAGTCTCGTGTCACCTAGCTGGCAATATATTATACAGCCTAACTACCTAAAGGCTGCTATGACTCGCCCATCTCGGGGATGGGCCTTATTCGGCCCTACCTCTGCTCCTTGGTATGTAACCAGACGCAAGCCAATATCCATGGGGGGACGCCTTACAAGCCAACAAAGATGCATTTTTATCACAGACTACCGCATAAACAATAACTTAAGTAAAATAGGTCTAGTAATGTGCAACCGGTGGGATTTGAAGCAGTATAATTCGGTCGCATGTATGTTTAGGCAACTGAAACCCGTCTCTTAGTATTATTCACCATTCTGTTATGTCTATTTTCTCGAAAAAGTGTCCTGAAAATCTATAACCATGCGAGCAGCAGAGTTCCTGCGGCTTTTTCGGCAATGAGAATTTATAAAAACCCAGATACTATATGTATAATAATTAACAACCAGCATAACGCGGCATTTTTGAAGCATTGCTATAATCTACGCCTTAACACCACTTCATCACACACATTACTCTTCTACCTTATATTTTATTATGTAAATATTATGCTACGCAAGGAATCAACAGAAACCGCGTTAGATACATCCAAAAAACCCAGTCTATGCTACCACTTAAAACCGAAATTCTCTCTAGCTTGTTTCCTCATCCGGTCCGCTAACAGTACACCAAATGAATGAGGACACACTAGTCAAGCATAAGCTAAACAACACTTTACTGAGGGCTGGAGCGATGCATTATGTTTCTTGTCACAATAGTATAGAGTTCCCTAAACACTTGTGTCAAAAAGTATGGCTCTAGAACGAGGAGGGCTCAGTTCACGGTCATGTCGTTTCTGGGTAGAAGTCTCTCGGAAAGATCTCAATGATATTAGCTTTTGAGTCTATTGGAAGACTATATGTCCTTGAATGATGAAAATTTCCAATACAACTACTCTGGAAGGTCTTTCTAAGGCGTTAGAGTTTGACACTATGGCGCTTTCCAAGAGGGAGGATCGCGATTGGAGATGAATCCCGCAAGACTGGAAGTAATTAGATCAATAGATAGAACTGCTGGCGCAATATATTTCTTACTCTACAAGGATAAATTTGGTTATGCAGTCTTGAACTTAGTGTAGTATATGAACCGACGTACTCACAGCTCTCTAAATAACGATCTCTCTTAATTTTGATCTTAATCTGACTAAAAAGTTTCTCTATCTACTGTATGAAACTCGCCTTACAGATAAAACCCTGTTAACTGCAATTACATCACTCCTAGTATTTAGCATCAAAGCCAGCCTGGTATAATTATATCATCTCCTATTGTTATATACTTCATTATTAATTGTCTAAAATAGATAGGTAAACCAATTTTCAAATACACTTGGACGACTGGAACTAACGAGATAATCTAGTTTGCACCCCGTTGCCCAACGCTTAATCTCACTCCCATTATGCATTACTTTGCCTCTTCCCATTATTTCCCTCCCTAATATGAATACACCTTTTATGAAGGGAGGGATATATACTCCGCCTCCCTAGGTTATGGGAATGTGTGGGATAATACGCCATTTTTGTGGTCCCATGGGGCACTGACAAAGCAGCCGACATCCCTGGGCACGGAGAGGGCTCAGCTGCCCTGATCGAGTAGGAACCTCAGGTCATGGAGAAGAGCTAGGCAAGGATACGAGAAGGGAGTAGGTCGCTTCAGAGAAGTTGGGGCAGTTAAGATCATCTGGAAGTAGTTGATACTGAGAGCTAAATACTAGGTAATACCTAGAATATCAAGGAACGTGTTACATGGCGGTCAATGTGATTAGTTCCCTCTAACTGCTTACCTGTCTTATATCCTTGTAAGCATTGATAGTTAAGCCGGGACTCTTTTGGAGTAACCATACTTAACTAAAATTAAATATCTCGTCTATATCACCAAGCATACCTAGGAAGATGTGTTAGGTTGTCACACGGACCAAGCCAGGTGCCCACGCCTGCCAGCCTTCCGTCCAGACATACAGCCTTCCGGCAAGACACGCAGCCTTAAGGAGCCGCAACCATTGGTCGGCAATTATCACGGGACTTGTAAGAGTCATAGGAGCCTCGTATTGCGGACTGGATCTGAGACAGCCAAAGGAGGGGTAATGGCTAGATGCCTAAGGCGCCAGCCCCCGGGCTGTCTATAAATATGAGGCGTAGGTCGAGGTTGCATCGAAGGATGGTTTGGAGGCCAATGGACCCTTTAGATCCAAAGATAATTATTAGTTGAATAGAACACTGTTCCAAGCCCTTATTACATAAGCCCTTGTCACATAGGTAGTCTAGTGCGCTCAATACCATAAGTGGATGGATATATAAAAGGGGGTACAGTCGCTGGCAACTGCTGGAACGATGCTTTACAAGCGGGTTAAGGGTGGTGGTGCAAAATATTTAACAGATTAACTGTCTACAGGCAGGAACTAAAACCTTCGTGATAAGCCCAGGATTGCACGTAACAGACCAACAAAGACAAGGCTGCTACAGCAATATATTAAAAATGTACAGATAAAGAGGTAGGGGAAAAATAAAGCTGAATAGAATTGCGGGATACAACAACAATATGTGTGTGTGCATGTGTATAACCAACTTACTCTACTTAGCTGTAACTTCTAGCAGCAGAAACACAACAATGTTAATTTAACTTATTGACTAAAAATAACATTTGAAGATGTTTGTCAAAATTTAAGACTTGCAAGGAGTTTTGAACCCCATACCTGGGGTGAAAACATGACATGCTAAAGCCAGTATACGCTTCAATAGGAAAGGTGGCCTTACTGAATTCGGTAAAGGCGCTTAGACTAGGTCTCCCCGGGAATCGAACCCAGATCGGTGGAAAGTTGGTGCATCAAAATCCACAGTGATAACCATTACACCAGGAAACCACTAGAGTGGCGACTGCCGCTTTAATTGACAAATATATAGAAATCTAATGCTAATTCGTAACCATAACCTTTTATAATGGTATATTATTGTTGCCAGGCATTAAGATATTCTCTTTTTCTCCCGCTCTTTTTTTTTTATAGGGATGTGAATCTAGTAGTTTGATTATCATGTAATACATTAACTCTTAATATCCGGTTTTTTTTCCTTCTCTGAAGCAGGTACTCCATGTCCCCACTATCGCTACTGTATACTGTGCAGTACACCCATGGTACGCTGTCTCTGATGAACTGCATGCATTACACTGTGCCTACTTGGGAAGCACAGACGAACATAAAGTTGTTGATTTAACAACCAACCGCAAATCCGAATGACCGGTTAAAGGTAACGTTTCTATCAGGTAGTCTAACCCATAGCCCTCAACGTAGTCTTTTCAACTAATTCGGGCATTCCAATAGGTACCGCCAGCTCATTCCACACCAAATGCTCAAGACGCATACTTAATAACCGGCTACTTCTCGGTTCTTGGTTTCAAGGGATGCCTTGCAGATTATTATTTAGCTCCCGTGTTTAGCCCCTCCCTTGCTCGGTTGGCGACTGATTTATTGTCGTGCTACCGTGCAATCCTTGCACATCATCCGTTATAACTCATCGGATATTTAAGACACCATATTATTACATACAAGAAAACCCTGTGCCGAGAGGGCAAGAGCATATGAACCCCCCGGGTCTATTTTTAACAGAAGTAAGTTCGTCCGGCGTTCACAACAATATAGGCAATAGATGATTACCTACATCGTGACTAAGTCTTCCCCATAGCCAGATAAAATGAGCCAGCTTAGACATTGCTCTTTTTCCTCTACCTTGGACCACATATCCCTTTTCTAAAGTAACATAACAGGTAGCAATTTCATATTGGTCAAGGATCAATTACCGATTGCATGACGTCGGCGGTTATATTAGGTACGACACTCGCCAAGTTTGACAGAGGAGTTAGAACGGAACACCGAGAACAAATAATTAGCTAATAACACGTAATTCACTACGCCTCGGGAGTAAACCCTCAAAAGGTAAAATTGACACCTCTTTCATGACTCTGCAGTTCATGCCGCGCATATTTAGTGTACGTACGATAACGAGTTTCGTAGTTCGTCCAAGCATGAGCATTATACCAAGGCATGTTGTCAATATCACATGCATTTTACGTAGACAGATGTTAGAAACCTGCACGTGCCTACTTACGTGGCATCTTAGGGTAGGTACCTAATCATGACCCTTTGCCTAGGCCGGGTAAGGGAGAAGGGATATGCAAACATTGCTGTAGTTATCGTCGATAGGGCTTCAGTTGTAACCCCCTAATCTTGACAACGATTACTCTGCGTCAGGACTGGAGCAATACATTCCCTGTTCGCCGTCGCACCAGTATAACAGTATGATCATCCCCGGGCAGACCCGAGAACCGCCACGGAACTATCCATCAGGACGACCCCACACTGCAGTGCGTAGAGCAGCTCTCCACAGAGGGAGGCCGGGCCAGCGAAGTGAGAGATCATCCGGGTAGACAGCGTGTCACGCCCGAGGCACAGGGGTGTCCCCGGGATCGGCACCAGGGTCGAAGTAGGCTCAACTGCCTTGCTTCCCCGGGAGGCACGCTCCCTGGTCCGTATTCGTTCGATGGAACGCCGGATCCCTGTCACCGGCGATAGCCGTGAAGCCGCCCGACGTCCCTAGCTGCATGATGGCGACTTGGATTTCCCCAAGAGTCAATGGCGGCTTGGTTGGTACAGTAGGGGGGCGTAGTGAGGGGAATGAGCTCATGCGAAAGTAGTAGTAGTGTCGGCAGTAAAACTAGGACCACGGTGTAAATTACACGATATCAATAACGGTTGTTTTTTTCCGGCGTTCTCCTGGAGCCGCCAACACGATGTCTTCTTCGTGTTGATGGGGGCTCGATATCTATATATCTCCCCGTTCCTGACCGGAGTAAGCCGTGAGTTCATTCTTAGACGACTAGTATCTGTAACAACCAGAGGATGCTAATGTGCCGGTTCAATGGCGTTTTTGGTGCCTGTAATTTTGACTGCGGCTGGTTTACACGGGTAATTATTATAATATGAACGTTAGCACGCGATGGGTATTTATAGAAATCGACAAATTGAGCTCATCCCGACGCCGAGGTCGTGTTAGGAGAAGAGAAGAGAGCAATGTCTGATCATAGATAAGCTTTAATTTCTTAATTGGGAATGAGCCGGCTAAACTAAACCGGATGGCCGTCGAAGTGACTAGCAACCCTGTATATTGTAATAAATCTAACCGTCTTGCGACTAGATCCTCATGTGCCGTGCGTTGGCGAAGACTTCACTCGCTCTATGTCTAACCCTAGCCTCAACATTCTCTGAATGAGCATATGTTATGCATATTCAAGTTTGGGCAAGGAATGAACGAGCTTATCTCGCTGGGGGCTTCCGACTAGTCCCGGGAAGCACGTAAGTTTTTTGTTGTAGTCGTTTGATTGACTCAGTCGCCTTTAGCTTTATTGTTCTAATGCGTCTATCTGTTAGAAGGTGAAAGCGACACCATAGTATCTTAGCACTGCACTATGGAGATGCTGAAATTCATTGCGCCCCTCTCAATTCTCGTATAGTTATTGGACATAAAAATCCCCGAAATATGCGCCGAATCTGCCGGGTGCCTCCGTGGCACTATCTCCCTCATTCATGCGGTGCTTGGGATGATCATAGTATAGCTTCAGGGGGAAATCATGCTGGCTCGTTCTCGGCACGGTTGTTGGTGAATCGAATTGAAATGCCGGGCTCTTGTATTGAGAATAGCCCGTGGAAGTTGCGCCGGCAGAGTCGTAAGCTTTTAGATCTACCATAGGGGGGAACGGCGTCTGAAGATAGTGGAAATCGGTTTCCAGATCGTCAAAGTTGACGTTGGAGACAGGGGCAGCGACCACGTTTTCTTGGCTCGCGGGGGTGTCCAAGAAATCCAAAATCTCCGGGCTCGAGCTGTAGGCCTCGAAGGGGGCGAAACGTCCATTGTCGAGAAGCGATCCGGTGGGATAATGCCCTTGTAAGTCAACAGATGGGTTGGGCTGATAGATGCCTACCCGGTTCAAACTTGAAGTCAACCTCGGAGGTATGTCGGATGCCTGGTTATACAACCCCGATACTCCATCTAACTCGGCGTCGCCTGTTATGAACCTCAGATCGTCCGTACTAGAATCACTTGCAGATCCTGCATAGAAACCTTCGTCGTGAGGCGATAATGCGTCATATTTTAAAAATGGCGCAAAGTGGGCGTCGTGATGGCTGGCAAGATACGAGGAAGACCCGATGTGGAGAGGACCCGATGGTGATAATATAGATTGCTCTCGGAACGAAGCTGGAAACCCCTCAACCTGCCACTGCGAGGCTCCGTGGTCTTGCCAAAGAACCTCTCTTAGGGATCCTGATGTCGAATCGGGACCAGAGCTACCAACTTCAGTGGCGGCGTAATCTTCTGGTTCAGAGCAGCTCCGGGTATGCGGCATCGTTATCTTGAATCGAGATTCTTCTGGATAGAGACAACATAACGCCTTTATCGCGCATCGTCGACAGGGCTCGCCTCTCGAGCATCGTTCCCGGACCCTCGCGCATTCACGACATGCTCGTCTCCTGTGTATGTTGTCGTCTCGCTGTTCGCGCGGGATGTGAATCGCTACATGTCGACCTAGAATATCACTTGTATTCCGGTGGTTAGCACGATACCGAGCGTGCTGGGAATGTTTGCAAGAATATACTCACCTCCGGGCGAAACTCTTGTCACATATATGACACGTAAACCGCCGGTTCTCGTCGTGTCCGCGCTGGTGTCTCTTCAGGTTCTCAGGTCGCTTGAAACTACTAGGGCATTGAGGACACTTGTATTTCTTCTGACTTGCAGGTTGAACTTGCAGGACATTCGAATCCCAAGCCATCTCCTCATGGCCAAGACTTGTAATGTGGCCTGGCATATTTCGGACGGATGGTATGGAGCAGAGCCAAGATGCGAAGCTGAGAAATTACCTCTTTTAAAGCCACTTGCGAAAATTCTCTCCCTGGCAGCTCGACAATAACTACTTAAATAGTCACATAATGCATTATCGTGCTTACATATTCCGTGGTGGTACTCTGATAGCCATCTTAACTTCTTTACCGGAGTCCGCTCTTATAGTCTGCAAGTAACCTGTGGTTCCATAAACCGTGGCCCTTAGACTTGAGGAGGGTCATCATGCATTGTCACTGGCGCGCATGTGACAAGGTTGGTCTGCGTTTGTAAGACGATTCGGCGGCGCTACCGGGACGTTATGCCCTCTAGTATTGCTTCTAGGTATCCAATGTCGCTTCCCTATGACGTAAATGATGAGTACAGGCCTTCTCGTGCTCGTTCCTGAAGTCCAAGGCTTCGTTTTATTACGACTAGAGATTACATCGCATCAAACATTGAGACCAAAGCTAAGATCAGGATCTGGTAGGTTTATCAGTTCAATCATAACTAATCATGTCAATTTCGGGAGTGATGGTGCTGATTAGGGGTGTACATGTTGTTCGAGAGGAAACGAATCAACAATTGACCTGTCAGACTGGCCAGCGACAGCCAAGGACCGTCGGTGGCATGGCATTATGATAACTGAGGGAGCCCAGGCGAGCTTCCCCGCAAAAGCTACGAGAATGGCAGGCGATGAAGCGAAGCATAACGGGTCGATGGAAGGTAAATGGAGACATATCTAAATAGCCTCCCGAGCCGATTCGCTAGGGGTAAGCTGTCAAGCAAGAGTTGCTAACAAGGGTTTGGACATGCTGCAACGGGAGAGCTGCAGCGGAGCGTATCATCGCATTAGTCAACCGTTTAATAGCCCGACCCTCATGTGGCCCTTGCCGCCTCTGTTGGCGCGTAAGTAATACGGAATGAACAACAACTCCTTAGACGCCGCCGCCTCGGCCTCAACACTCGAACCAGGCTCTAGACCCAATGCCCT